CCCCAAAACCCCAAAACCCCAAAACCCCAAAACCCCAAAACCCCAAAACCCCAAAACCCCAAAACCCCAATAAATAATAAATAAATGATTTACCTCTTTTGCAAAAATGATTTAAATTGTTCTAAAATTGTGCCATGAACAGATCACCATCGCACATATGGAGCCATTTTTACATTCAAGAAGAAAAGGTGTTGGAAGAAATACAGACGTTTAAACGCAATGCGGACCAGGGGTGGCATGGCAATAATTAGGGGAATGTGTGTGCTGGAATCGAGCAAACTTCACTTTAAAGTTGATTAATGATCACAGAAATTGAAATTTAGGGGAAATATAGTCTATTAATCACATACTTTGAGTATTAGACAAAAAATCCTTAGCATAACATGCTTTTTGAGAGGATAATTATCATAGACAGTAAGGAGAATTTGTCTAAAAAGAACAATGCTTGGAAACAAAATTTATAGCAAAATTGAAAAGACCTCAATACTTTTTAAGAATTCGAAATATCATAATGACTAATTGAGGTAAAACTTGGAGAAAATGAAGTTGGAATGCTTTATTAAAAATTAACTTTAATTAAAAGATTGTGGCAAAAGGAAGTTTTCTTATTTTAATCCTACTAAAACCAAACGACTAAAATCACCGAGTATTGAGAAAAAGCAACAAAAGATAAAGAAAGTACATGTAATATTGATTTGATGATTACAAAATATCTAATAAATCCATTTTATCTTCGTAAACTTATGACTTATCTGGCTTCCTGTGGCTTCAAAGCTTTCTCGACTTCTTCCTTCTGTGCTTCAAACAGTTTCCTCAAAAATTCTTTGAGCTCTTCATGCGACACGTCGTCAGAGCCGTCTTCGTCAAGCTCTGCGAACACCTCCTTGATGACTTGCTCGTCCGGATTATTCTTCATGCCCATTTCCTGGCAGATATTCCCAATGAACGACTTAATTTCGGCTTTGTCCAGAGACCCGCTCTGGTCAACATCGATGGTCTTGAAGACTTCTTTGCAGACGTGGTCGAAGGTCTCTTCATCACCGAGGATCACCGACAGTGCTTCCAAAGTACTTTCAAGCTCAGCTTGTTCGTCTGACATAATTTGATTATTCAATTTTTATAAAAAATTGAGGGGTTTTGGGGTTTTGGGGTTTTGGGGTTTTGGGGTTTTGGGG